CAGATAAATAACACGTACGTCATGAGATGTGCATCATGGAAAGTAATAAGCTTCATTTTTGTTACTTGCTCCAAGCACAATATGGAGCTTTTTAATTTCTGTTCATATACGTTTCAGTAGAATATATATATAAAGATGAACTCCTATTCCATCGAAAGATGCTAAAACATGAACAGTAATGAAAGGGAAGTACGTAGTATAATTTACAACACAGAATTAAAAAAATTACCACGTGTTTGGAATTGTGTGGTTATAAAGTTCGGAAGCAGGCTAACCACATAAACCAACCAACCTGTCACTATAATTTCACAGCCCTAAAACTACAATCCCATTAGCATATTCTACTTCATTGTGCCTAAGTGGAATTAATGACCTGTATGCATCAGACTCTCATATATATATATATATATATATATATATATGTATATATATATTCAATTAACTCATCGTTTAATTTACAAATGCATAGCTTATGATCTACTACCTCCGGTCTTTAATATAAGACCTCATTTGACTTTTATTTTAGTTCTAAATATAAAACCCCAATCCACTTTGTCTCTCATATTTATCCATTTTCTTCTAAGGTAATCCTTCCAATAATGGTAGTTCTAGCCAATACACTTGATTAGTAAGGATATTTTAGGAAAGATAATACTTATTTATTACAAATAACTAACTTTACTTATTTTCTTAATCTTTTCAAATTAGTCAACTAGCTCTTATATTTAAGACCGGAGGTAGTTATATATAAAGTTTATTTTAAGGTACAACTACAAATTCGGATTAGCTAGTGCAAGTTTCCATTGGCAATATATGTGTATATATAGACACACACACACATGGCTCGGGGTTTTGTCCTCTACGTATACTTTTGATAAACATTTTTTGCAGTTCTCGTAGATGTATCTCTCTCTCGCATTCTTACATTTATTAATGAGAACCCATACTTTCTTTGTTTCTGCAGGGTAAAACAAAACAGTAGTGAAGAGAAGCTGTACCTGATGACTTATTTCGAGAATTCCAAGAGAGTATATATTAGTCCAACTTTACAAGCCAAATACATCCAAATTTCTTCAGGACTACAAGGAGAAAGCAAAATGTTGTTAATAAGTGATAATATAAGTTATATATAGAGGATCATTATGTGTTCTGAAAACAAACGTGATTAACTATATTAAACGTGTAGAAAGAAAACAAGTTGAGTTGTGTATCCGTGGGTGTAACTAGTTAACAAACATACATTGACGGCAATAGAATGTAAAGTAATTATAATTATAATAATGAATAAATACGAATATTAAATCATGATGGTAAAATGTGCGTCGTGGATAACGTTCACGTTCGGTTTTCCATATGCACAAGGTATTGAGCCTTGTCATTAGTCCGGCCATTTACGTTTCAACAATAGAATTATTTTTATGTATTACAGCTCCCTCATCATTCTCTTGAGAGATACACATTATCATGAACAATAATGATAGGAAGCAGTAATTTATAGCATTAATATATATATATATATATATATATATATATATATATAGATCTTGATTCCTTACAAATTGAAGGACATGGGGAAATTTGTCAAATTTTTCAAATTTTTAGATCTTTACACATGAAAGATAAAATAGACTAAAGTTTTACATTTAGAATTAAAACTAACTCCTTAACTAACCCATATATATATATATATATTTAGGATTGCAGGACTACTATTTAATAAATATGATGTGAATAATATGTCTAAAATATACAAATTAGACATACCTATAGTTTATAGTCTATACTGATTATTCTATATAATATATTTAGAGAAAGAGAGCACAAATAGTGAGTGTAAAAGGCAACAAAAAAAAGGCTTTGTATATAACATAATTTCATTTATTTATATATGTCATTTTACTTTCAAATGCATGATTATGGAAGAGTTCATTTGATTAATGTTGTTTCATACAACAAGGGACTTTCTTGTTCAACCAAGAGTCTGGCCGGCTCTCGCGGGTGGCAAAATGAAAAAAAAAACAAACCTATAAATTACGTGCTATAAAAGGAGGACTAGCCAATCCCTCTTCCCACAACACATTCACACTGAGAACAATTAAGTGCAAATGGCTCTCAAAATGAAAGCATTGTTAGTAATGGGGCTTGCCATTGCAAGTCTCGTCTCGGAGGCTTCTGCAATTTCTGGAACTGCCACCTTTTACACTGTATATGTTCGTAAGTATCCATATTCTAGTCTTCTCCTTACAGCGTTTTGAGAGACAATAACAAAAGTTGCGGTTGATGTGATTAATTGCAGCATCTGCGTGCAATGGATTCCAAAATGACGGAGTTATGATCGCCGCCGCGAGCGACTCGCTCTGGGACAACGGAGCTGCATGTGGAAGAAAGTACAGAGTGAGGTGCGCCAGCGGTACCAACCAAGGCGTGGCTAACCCTTGCCGGGGTGGAGCCGTCACCGTCAAGATTGTCGATCGCTGCCCTCCTCCGGCCTGCAGAGGAACCATCGATCTCTCCCGTGAAGCTTTCTCTGCCATCGCCGACCCTAACGAAGGAAAAATCAACATTGAATTCACCCAGTAAGTAAATAATTCCCTCTCACCTTCAGTACATCACTGTTGTTTTATTTTGGTTTACTCCCATTTCATGTCATTTTTTTGCTACTGATGATTTTTTTTTTTGGTGTCTTCAATTTTCAGGGTATGAAGCTTCTGGGAGATAATGTAATATTTATGTAGGAGATCAGCAGTTTGGAGTTAATGGCGAATAAAACGTACATGAAATGTACCTGATGGAAAATAGAATTCATTTTCCATGAATAATGTGTCAAGCGTTTAATTTGATCTGTGTGTTAAATGTTTCAATCAATAAAATATTCATTGTTTTATATACCCTCTCCCACACATCAGAACTCTCACGACTCAAATTGGTCAAATTTAATTTCTTTCTCTAGCGTCATACAAAACAGCAATGAACAATGAAAAAGGAAGCAGAACGATATGGAATTAAACAAGACGAAGAGAATATAATATTGCATGCAGGGCCGTCAGAATCATATTGAAACTATATATATTCGGCCTCTATCACGATTTCAATACAAACAATACGAGACGGTTAACTTCGATGAATATGATCGGTTATAAGAATAACGAAGGAGCAACATTTACGCACATGTGCGTGCATAAAAGACCGAAGTTGGATTGTTTATCTAGGTTGACCCAAAAGAGGAAAAAACCAATGTTTGGATTTGGAGCCACTTTGTCTGTTTGAGGGGAAAATGAGCCGGGTAGGATGTTGGGTTGGACGAGTTACTTTGATTACTTTTGTTTCCTTCCAAACAACATTGCTTTTGGTTTTCTAGAAAAAATGAAAAGAAAATGCTTCCCAAATGTGACATCTCATCCAAAAGTTTGAAGACTAAAGACCAAGATAAAGAAGATGATGGGGGATGTCATTATCCAAGTTTTTTTTTTTCTTGGACCAAAATTAGTCAAGTTTGCTGCATATTAAAAAAAAAAAAAGATATGAAAAGTAGCGTATGGTTGGATGATAGAAAAACACACAAGAAAAATTCAAAATCCCAAGCCTATATTTCCATGCACCAATTTAATGTGTAGCAGGCTTAATTAAATGATGATGATATTCCACGTCAAAAAACAATGATGATGATATTTGATGGGTTACTTATGCATAGGTAAATGTGTAAGTAAGATTTTATAAGAGAATAATTCTCCATATATATTGTAAATTTTTCGGAACCAAAAGATTTTAAACATTATTTTTTTCTAACCACTAACCATATTATTTGCATTAATAAAAGAAGTTAAAAATCTGTCAAGTGATTATATTAATATAAATTGCCGCTTTATTTTATTGTCATTTAAAATTTATTTTTATATGTTATGATTGTTATTCTTATTTTTTAAAAAAGAATTATTATGTAATTATAAATTATATTACTTCAATCATGATCATTCTAACTCCAGTTTGAAATGCTGTCTTAATTAGTTTATTGAGCAATATGATTTTCAATATGTTAAAAAAAACGCACAAATTATGTTCAATTTTAAGAGTTATGTTCTTTTTTTTTGGTGTGGAGGAACCTCAAGGGTTATGTTCAGTGGCACTTTGAATGCAACTGCCAATGCTATAAAGTTCCTGACGAAGCTAGATTTGTTTTGTTGGTGAAAGTATAAAATGAGTTTCTTTTACATATCTAAAATATTAAATAGAGGCTAAACTCTTTCTGTCACATTGCCGATATTTTTTATTTTTTAAGTTTTTCAGTCTAATACTCCCTCTTCGGTTTCTTCTTGTAAGAAATAATTATCACCTATAACTTGTTTCTCTTTACAAAAGACATTTAAAGGATGTCTAAAATTTATGTTATTTTTTTATTTTGTCCCATTTAGTTACTCATTTTAACATCTATATATTTATTATACATGGCCTATGGAGTATTCTCTTTACCATACATTTTCTGTCTTTCATAATCTAATTTTTATTTTAACAATTTTCTTTTTTTTAATACCCGCTCCCTTATAAATAAGAGTATTTTTGAGATAAAAATTTGGAGTTTTTACATATGGATTGTATCTAACTAATTTTAACCAATATTTAAATCATCGTGACTTGGTTAATTATTTATTATAAAAAAGAACTAGGGGTAATTGCCACACTGGCTTCTGTTTGGGGGTATTGGGCGCAGAATATAACAGTCGGCGCTCCTGGGTTGATGTCAATGTTTAATTTAATATTTTTGGAGAAAGAGAAGACAAATAGGAGTGTAAAAGGCCAAAAGAAAAACTTTGCATATAATTTCATTTAATATGGTATCACACAACAAGGGACTTCCAGTTCAATTGCCTGGCCGGCTATTGGGTGCAAAACAAAACAAAACAAAAAATCTACAATTTACGTGCTAAGATTTTGCTATAAAAGGAGGACTAACAAATCCCTCTTGCACAACAGATTCGCATTTTGAACAATATAATTAAAGTGTAATGGCTCTCCAACTTCAAGCATTGTTATTAATTGGGCTTGCCATTGCAAGCCTCGTCTCAGCAGCTTCTGCTATTTCTGGAACTGCTACCTTTTATACTGTATATGTTCGTAAGTGTCCCATGTTTATCACATTGCCTTCTACTCTTCTACTTATAGCATTCTTGTGCCATTAATAACAACTCAGCCTCGACCTCCACATCTTCAGGAGGGCATAAAGAGAAATTATCTTCTTTTAACATAACTTTCTCACTAATCACTCACTTCACCAGCGCTTCATCTGTGATCATGATTTGCCTCTAGAATTAGTGCATGAAGCAAATTTGTGCCGCATAGTCATAAAGAAGTGAAGCGAAGCTAGGTAGATCGGGAGACTATCAAACACACATTCACGCAGTGATTGGTTTACAGAAAATAACAAAGTTGTGGTTGGTGTGATTAATTGCAGCGTCTGCATGCAATGGATTCCAAAACGACGGAGTTATGATCGCCGCCGCGAGCGACTCGCTCTGGGACAACGGAGCTGCATGTGGAAGAAAGTACAGAGTGAGGTGCGCCAGCGGTACCAACCAAGGCGTGGCTAACCCTTGCCGGGGTGGAGCCGTCACCGTCAAGATTGTCGATCGCTGCCCTCCTCCGGCATGCAGAGGAACCATCGATCTCTCCCGTGAAGCTTTCTCTGCCATCGCCGACCCTAACGAAGGAAAAATCAACATTGAATTCACCCAGTAAGTAGATAATTCCCTCTCACCTGTTGTTTTATTTTGGTTTACTCCCATTTCTTGTCATTTATTCACTACTGATTTTTTTTTTTGTTTGACGTCTTCAATTTTCAGGGTATGAAGCTTCTGGGAGGCAATGCGACATATTTATGTAGCAGCATGTGGAGTAGTAAATGGTGAATAAAACGTACAACAAATGTACGCTATGGAGAATAGAATTCATTTTCCATGAACTACGTGTGTCAAGTGTTTGATCTGTGTGTTCTAACGATTTTATTAATAAAATATTTATTGTTTTATATATCCTCTCCTACATATATATAGAACTACTCTCACCACTCAAACTGATCAAATTTAATTTCTCTCTCTTGCTTCATCCAAAAAAAAAAAATGAACAACGAAAATGGAAGCAAAAAGTTATAATAATATCAGGGGATGAGAAGTTTGTAGTAAAAAAGGATATGGAAGTTTTGTTGATCAGAACGAAAAGGTAGTAAAACAAGATGAAGAGAATATTGCATGCAGGGCCATCACAATCATATTTAAAATATATATATATTATGCGGACCCAATCGTGCTTTCGATACGAACATGATAAAACTTGTAGAAACATCAATACAAGCTAAGAGGGTTCAACTTCGATGAACAAGATCGATGATAGTAATAACGAGGAACGAACAATTTCTATTGCCAATTAATATATGTATGTGTGTATGTAATATACGCGCATATATGCATCAAAAGTCTGAAGTTGGATGTGTTTTTGGTTGACCGAAAAGAGGGGAGGAAAACCAAGAGAAGTGTATGATGAGGGTTAAGTTCTGTTGGCACTTCGGATGTACGTACTACCTCCGGTCCTACTTATAAAATCCCGTTCATATATTACAAATGAGATCCTATAATTAAGACTAAAAGTAGTAAAGAATAATTCAACATTGGAGTTCTTGACTAAAGACTGATAGCAAAGTGTAATTCACAAAACTACATTGAAGCTTCTGCCTTTGAAGTACTTTGACTGTAGTAACTTTGGAAGTAACTAACAAACCTTCGTCGGAGCTTCTAAACGTATGATGGTTGCAACTAAGCTAATGTGATATTTTTTTTAATTATAAAAGGAGGTTTTGTAGATATATGGAATATTTTTTGAGGAAAATTGCTATAGGGTCCCAAGAAAAGAATTTAATCATTCAAAAGTCTAATAGCATCCGAGGGGTCTGCAATAACAGGTCTTAATGTAGATAATGACAATACATTTTTGCTTCTCATTATTTGTTATTAAAACTTTTTGATAACTAAATCCCTTTCTTAGAACCTCATAGTAATTCTTCCTATTTTTTATCAATAATAGTGGCTAATCCCTTTCATATGTATTAAAGGCAAAGCATAATTAATGCTCCCGCCCTTCACATTTAATTTATGCTCCATATACATAAAACTAGACTTCGGTCCATCAGAATATATTTTATTTCTTTTTTGTATTAAAAAAACAGGATAAACAATGTTAAAAAATTTGTGTTATAAAAATAGAGCTGCCAAAAAGTGGAGGTTGTAAAATAGTGAGCAGAACCCAGCGAATTTAGGTTTTGGTGGATTGGGATTCCATAAAAGCAAATCAATTTTTAACGTTAGCTCCACTCGGTAATAGCTAACTAATTAAATTCTCTTTCCCATCACGCTGCTGATATTTTGTTTTTGTTCGTATTGTCAGGGCTCTTGTGATGCTTGCAAGATAGTTAGGCCATAAGGAACCAAATTTGGTACTCATCATTGCAGTGAGATCTGTATCGTTCAAATACACAATCTATATTTAAAATTTTTAATTGATGGTTTCAAATAAGAAAATTATTTTTTAAAAAAAAATTGATAGTTAAGAAACAATATATACGTTAGATTTTGTGTACACATTAAATTATTACAATATTAAAAATATAAGAAAATTATGTTAAATCTGAATGACTCAATTTTATTATGGACAGTCTAGATTTAGTTACCTAAACTGAATTCCAGACGGTACCAAGAAGATGGTAACAACAACACTAATAATAAATAGAAAAATAAGACGTACGCCATGAGATGTGCATCATGGAAAGTAATACTCCTCCGTTCTATAATATAAGACCTAATTATTAAGTTAATTTTGGTCATAAATATATTACTTATTTATCATATTTATCAATTTTTCCTAAATTATCCCTATAGATACTTCCTCAACCATAATCAAGTAAGTGAGAAAGTGAGGATATTAAGAAAAATGATTATGGTGTTTTAAAAAAAAATATGTCATATTTTTTATAATTAACTAACTTACCTAACTTCTTTCATTTAATCAAATTAGTTAAATAGGTCTTATATTAAGGACCAGAGGAGTGTATATATATATATAATAAGCTTCATTTTTTTTTCTCCAAGCAAAACACATGGATGGAGCTTTAATTTCTGCTCATATACGTTTCAGTAGAATTATATATATATATAATATATATATATATTAGAACTCCCACTCTGTTGAAAGATACAAAACACGAACAATGAAAGGGAACTACGTAGTAATTTACAACACAGAAATAAAAATTACTATCAGTTTGGAATTGTGTGGTTGTAGAGTTGGGAAGCATGCTAACAACATAATCCGGCCAATCATTCTTTATAATTTCGCAGCCCTCAGCTACAACGCCATTAGGATATTCGACCGCATTATTCCTGAGTACAATCACCGGAGAATCCAAATTAAATCCATCCAAAATATCTATATTCAAATTCAGGCCTACATGAGACCATATTAGAGATTTTCGAATATTGATAAATGACTAGAATGTCCCTCTTTAATTAAAAATAAAAATTGATTATTTTATTCCTCTCAAATGGTTCATAATCTCTTATTATTAATATATAGACGAAAAACATATAAATAAATTTTCAGTGTTTGAAATTTTGTGTATATAATTAAAACTTTCAAAATATTTTAAAAAATTTTTAAATTACAATATAAGTAATCTTCAAGTAAATATTTCTTATTTTCAGATTGTAAATATTTATTTTAAGAGTTTGAAATATTTCGATTATAAGAAATATCTAATACTGAATTGTTATAATTTACGTTTTTGGTTGAATCTCTAATAAATAAAACTAATGTAGATGACAATAAATGAAAATAAAAAAATTTACTTAAAGGCTACTTATATTTATAATTTATCATTTTTTATTAAAATATTTAATCTGTTTTAGTTATGTATATACAAATTTAAACATTGTAAAATTATTTATATGTTTTTTTGTCTTAAAAATAATTATAAAAGATGAGGGATCCCTTGGAAGGGATAAAATAATCAATTTTTTAATTAAAGAGGGGCATTCTAGTTATTAACAACATTCAAAAATTTCTAATTAGACCTCACCACTTGATTAAAAATTTGTTAAAAATGTAGGTCTGAATTTAGATACAGATATATCAGTTGAATTTATTTGGGATTCTCCATAGAATCAATGACTCTTATATGTAGAGAGATTAATAAATAAAAGATCCAGTTTCATAAATAATTTGCAAATGCATAATTATCAAGAATCTGACTTACCTGCTTGAAAATACTTTATGTATACTTTAGAGATATATATGTGCATATATATATATATATTTATAGTTTTCCTTGATGTCTCTTTCTCTCTCCCATTCTTACGATTATCAATTAGAATTAGAGCTATTAATGCGAGCCCAACTCGTCAGCCCGCCAAAAAGGGCAGGCTCGTGTTGGCAATATGCTAGCCCGCCAAGGTGCGGGCTATTCCTGCATCGTTTTGAGCTCGCTCCGCCACGGGCTAGCCCGCAGGTTGGCGGGCTGGCTCGCCTTTTTTTTTTTTTTAATTTTCATATAATTCCTAATATAGTTAAAATATTTTGACCATCAAATTCTACACAAACAATTAAACATTGCTTCTTTCATATCATTGTATAAGTAATTAAACACTTTATATATTTGTGATTCTGTGTGTAGTTACACGAAGATTATCGTCTATTTTTTATTTTTCATTTATTTGTTGCGTCACTATAAAAGCCTTTATAAAATTAAATAAACATGTAATACTTATACATTTGTACATAAAATATCTACTTAATTAATTTGGATAAGAAAACTAAATTACTTTGAATAAGAAAACTAGTTAAATTAATTATTTATAAAAAAATATTATTTTTTTAAAATATCTTCTTAAATTATAAATTAATCTTCACTTTATTTTATTGTAATTCACTATTCAAATTCAAGATTCGAAACTTAATTTTAACATTTCAAATTAAACTCAACCTATACTAATAATAATAGTTTTTATTAAAAAAAAAAATATTGAGACGACCCGCCAACCTTCCTGGCGGGCTCGGACTGGCATGCAAAAATACGGGCTAAAGCTTTAGGCCCGTACTGTCATGGGCTGGCCGGTATCCGTATCACCAATCGTATTACCACCTCTAATTAGAACCCATCGTTTCTCGGTTTCTGCAGAGTAAAACAAAACATGTACGTCGAACAATGAAGAGGAGCCGTGCACGACTTATTTCGAGAATTCCAAGAGAGAATATAATTAGTGTAACTTCATAAGTTAAACACACCCAAATTTCTTCAGGAATACAAGGACAAAACAAAAAGATTGTCAGTAAGTGATAATATAGGTTATATCCTATATGTGATCATGATGTTTCCTAAAATAGTTGTGGGGTTTGTAGGGCTGCTTTGGACGCAAACCTGCCACGCAAATTAAATACACTCGTTTGTTTATTATTATTATTTTTTTTGCGCAGGTTTTCATGTTTATACTTATAACTCGTTTTACAATACATAATTGATTTTATTTTCTGATAGTATGCTTTTTTTTGTCAGATAGAATGCTTGCTGTATATCGTTTAATAATTGTATTGGGATGAGGGATTTAAAAGGAAAAAAAAAGAAGAATTAAGAGTATTTTTGAAAAAAAAAAAAGGTATGCTTTTGATATCCTTGTTTAACTTTAACTAACCTTTTTAATCTGCATGAAGCCGTTTTATATAAATAGAAACGTTATAGTTTTATAGGTACACTCCCACATGTCAGAAATCAAATTTAATTTCTTTACCAAACAATAATGAACAATTAAAAAGGTGTTTGACAACCCTTAAAAGTGCTTCTCAAGACAAACTCCTCTACATATTTACTTTATAAACCATAAAAGTACTTTTAAAATCATAGTTTGGTTTCTATCTGAACACCCTCTAAATAAGTTATAATTGGGGATCGGACTTTTATAGTTAACTAAGTATTTACGAAAAAGGAAATGGAACTTTTGTTGGTTAGAACGAAAAGGGGACAAAACCATGAAGAGATGAAGAGAATATTTCATGGAGGGCCATTGTAATCATATTGAAAACAGTATGCGGCCCTAACCAAACAGGCTCTTAAACATGTAGAAAGAAAACAAGTTCAATTGTATATCTTTGGATGTAACTAATAATTAACAATCATACATTGATGGGGATAGGATGTAGAGTAATTATAATAATAATTATTATTATAATTATAATAATAAAATATGCGTCATGGAATATAATATTCATATGTTCGGTTTTCCATATGCACAATATATGTATTGAGCCTTCTTAGTCCGGCCATATACATTTCAATAGAACTATTTATATACTCTCTCCAATCCTTATTATAACATTCAAATAACTAATTCGCGGGTAACAAACAATTAGTTAAAAGAATAAATAAGTTAGAAATATGTTTTTATTTTTAAATATGCCTTTAAAATAAATAAGAAAAAAGATGAAAGTGAATAAGTGGGAAAATGTGATAAGAGAGATTATGACAAAAAAGAGATAATAAATAAATAAGAGAAAAATTGGAAAAATGCATTAAATATTAAGATAAATTCAAATTAAAAATTATAAAATAGATCATACCCCTTCTTAAATTTGAAGTTTATATTCATGAACAGTGATAAGGAAGCGGTGTTTTATAGCACAGAATTATCAAACGTGGGTCCTTTTTTCCCCCAGAAAAAGGGGAAATGTCTATTCTTTTTTCCATTTAATCCAAACGAAGTTTAATTTATTAATAAGTTTTTCTATAATTTATATCATCCAAAATTTTCACCAATATGACCTTATAATTAAGGAGGGAATAAATATATGTTGGTGTGTTAGAACTTTTTGTGGTAATCATGCATTCACAACAAGCTAAGTGCATAGACGTGGGTGCACCCCTATATCTAAAGAGAGATTTATATATATATATATATATATATATATATGTCAGTGATTTTGAGGGATCTATTAAATAAACTAGAATACACACACATATACAGACATATAACTATATATATATATATATCTATAAATAGAGTAAATCCTGAAATATAATGTAAGTCTGTCCGTGAGAGTATAAATGAGATCAAGTAGTCTCGTTCGTATTTTTATCTATTTATCATTTTATTTGCAAATGCGTAATAAAAACATCTAACTTAACTGATTAAAAATATAGTTTATTTCTGGCTCAAATCTTGATTATTACTAGCCGGTTGTTCAAGTTTATTCCCATCGACGTTGTGTAGAACGTTTTGTCCTCTGCCTTTCATAAAATTATTTATACTTCTGCTCTCTCTCTCTCTCTCTCTCTCTCTCTCTCTCTCTATAACTTCTTTAGAAATGTTTTGTCCTCTTTACGTGAACTCCAATAATTGTGAGATTGCTTCATTAAGAGTTGAAACGAAAACACTTTGACCAACCAAACCCACTAAGTACTCCTCTAGTCGTATTTATAAGATGAAAAAAGAAGATATTTTTTATCTTATTTATAGGGCACTGAGAGAATTTTTTTGTATAAATATACAATTTTATATTAATTTATTATTATGTTGATTTTTTTACATGATGTGTAATGTATATTAAATAGGAATAAAGTTAAAAAGTGTCAAATTTTAAATAAGAGTTAATAAAGTTTAAAATTTTGCTTGATTTGTGTGAAACATGTTGAAAGTAACTTATAAATAGGACTAGAGAAGTATATTGTTTTGGAGGGCTGCTTGCGACGCAGCTATTCGATCGGATACATTAATTTTTTTGCATCTTGTATTGATCGGAATAATCAATGTCCCGTGCATACCAATGTGCAGATTCATACATGAAAGTATGTTTTGTAAGATCTTATGTTTCAATATATAAAGCACTTCATAAAGCTTTAAGAGCAATTAATAACTTTTTACTTAAAATGCTCTTAGGAGTATATCACATTACTTACCTCCTGCCTAACAAATCATCAATGATTGATATTTGATAGAATTATTTTTTCATATTATCCTTAAGAAAATTAATTAGAATGTTCATTTATTAATAAGAGAATATTTATCTCTTATTTAATAAGAGCATGTTATAAATCTCATATCGAAGAGTCTCACAACTCACAAGTGTGATGTGATTTGTAATACAGGTTTTGTTTTTTTTTTAAGGATGGGACTCTTTATTTAAATTTGTGTTCATAATAAAGGTGCTTTCATTAAGAGCTCAATGTTCACAAAGAAGGATATCTATAGAAGGTTTTAACTATCACGAAATGGAATGAAGTGTTGTGATATGAAACTATTAAGGATGTCAACTTTCAAATGTGGGGTGTACTGTTATAAGTTTCACATCTGGGAGCCGCATAAGTGTGGTGTCACTTATAAATTTAAGGAGCTTCATTTGAATAGGCTAATCTTTTGAGATTGTTGTTTAAGCTTCTTTTTATAAGAGCATAAGTGAAAAATTGTATTAAATGCTTTTATAATAGTAAGTGATGGGATTAATAAATTAGAACATTTTTTGGGCGAAAGGAAAAGAATATGTTAATAAAATAACATTACATTTTGTTAAAATTCTAAGCCATTTATTAATATATTAATGCGTGTGCTAATTAAAAGGTGAAAATGACAACTATTTTCGAAGTAAGGGAGTACAACTCATTCCATAACAAGGATCATACTATAATATAAGTTCAAATATTATGAAGACAAAACGTATAATAAGTGATGTTGTTTGTAAAGATGTGTAACAATGTAATTAAAATATGCAATCTACGTCCTAAATCTTCTATAAAAGGAGGACTAATCATCCCTCTCTCACAGCACAACTACGTAGATTGGCAGTTGCAAATCATCAAGTGAAATGGCCCCCAACATGAACTCAGTGCTTGTCGTGTTGGCCATCGCAAGCCTTGTTTCAGTGGCATCTGCCATTTCTGGAACTGCCACATTTTACACCAAATTAACTCGTGAGTTTCCATCTTTGATTATATATCTATCAAACAACATTATTAACACAGATAACAACACAAGAGTTTAACTATGTTATTATATTGGCGTGATTAATTGATTAATTATTATATTGTAGCTTCTGCGTGCTTTGAGGGCCGAAACGAGGGCACGATGGTGGCAGCGGCGAGCAAGTCGATCTGGGAGAATGGAGCTGCATGTGGAAGAAGGTACAGAGTCCGATGCACCGGCGGTACCACCGGCGGTGTGGCTCACCCTTGCCGGGGTGGAAGCGTTACCGTCAAGATTGTGGATCTCTGCTTAGACTGCCAAGGAACCATCGATCTCTCTCGTCAAGCTTTCTCTCACATCGCTAACCCTGTCGAAGGAAAAATCCGCATTGACTTCACCCAGTAATTTGAATCCTCTCTTCCTAATTTTCAACTCAATTACTTCATCTACTTTACTCACTATTTCTTTGCTATATTTTCAGGGTATGAAGCTTCTGGGAGAGAATTATATATCTAACTGTATATCCAGGAGGATGTGGATTTAATGGTGAATAAAACGTACAAGATCACAGATTATTATATACGGATATCCTGGAAAATAGGGTTCATTTTAATTTCCATGAATTATGCGTATGTGTCCAGTGTTTCAGTGCCTGTTAAGTTTTAATTAATAAAATATTTTGAGTTTTTGCAATGACTAAAGAAACGATGGATAATGACAAATATATATGAGAAAGCTGTATTGATTTTATAGATATTCCTCAACGGCCATATGATCCGATAGTACAAAATCAATGAGGAAATAGTACAAGCTTTCAGGAAATACGAAAAGAAATGTCATAGTTTGCAGAAAGGAAATAAGGAAAGATTCCTCCAGGAGAGAGAGAGAGTCTTCAATAAATATTCCACACCAATCCTTACACTCCCTCGTCCTATTATAGTCATGCGTCATTCTCCAATTCGCGAAGCTTCCAGCTTTTCTTCTTAATCCTCAAGCTTCTCCGGACTGGTTCATTTTGGGCCAGCTTCTCTTGCAACTTTGGGCCTGGGTTCGTTACATCACCCCCTCCATTGAAATGAACCTTGTCCTCAAGGTTCAAGGTTGGATACAGCTGTTGCAAGTCTTGCTCGAATTCCCAAGTGTGTTCAGACGTTCCGTCCCATTGGACCTGAAATTGTCGCATCCACTGCCCATTCTGCTGTACCCAGCGTGCCCCATTAATTCCCACTGGTTGACTAATTGGCCCTTCTGGTACTGTTAACAGGGGTAATGGCAAGTGAGTGGCCGTATCATCGCCGTGAAATTTTTTCAACATAGAGACATGAAACACCGGATGAATCCTTGCATAATCAGGAAGCTGGACTTTGTAAGCAACAGACCCAATACGCTCAACAATGGGAAAAGGGCCAAAATAATGCATAGGTAGTTTCTGAAATTTCCGCAGTTGCACGGAGTGTTGTCTGCAAGGTTGCAATTTTATCAGAACCAAATCTCCCACCTGAAACTCCACTTCTGTTCTTTTCTTATCTGCGTAAAGCTTCATACGCTGTTAAGCCTTTTTGATGTTGGATTTCAAGATGTCTAACACCTCGTCCCTCTGCTCTAATTGCTGATGAATATCGAGAGGTGTATCCTCTGCTGAACTATGTCGTAACAGGGGAGGGGGATCCCTGCCATAAACGACCTTGAAGGGAACCATTCCAATTGAGGAATGAAACAAAGTGTTGTACCAAAATTCTGCCCAGGGTAAATAATTAAGCCATTTTCTGGGAAAATCAGACACAAAGCATCTCAGATACATTTCAACACATTTATTTAGGGCCTCTGATTGCCCATCCGACTGGGGGTGGTATGCAGAACTGAAACATAGTTGTACACCTTGTAACTTCATCAAATGCTTCCAGAAAGCACTAGTGAAGGTCCGATCTCTATCTGATACAATTGTTCTTGGCAGCCCATGCAGTTTAATAATATTGTGCAAAAAAGCTTCAGCAACTATTTGACTGGAAAAATGGCTCGGTAGAGGAATGAAATGGGCATACTTAGACAATCTATCAACCACTACCATAATAACTGAATAGCCTTTCACAATTGGAAGCCCCACTATAAAATCCATAGCAACATTTTCCCAAATCCGTTCAGGAACAGACAACGGTTGAAGCAATCCTGAAGGGTGTAGTTGTGACAGTTTTGCCCGCTGACATACAGCACAATTCCGAATGTAATTTCTAATATCCTTCCGCATCTTGGCCCAAAAATAAAGTCTGGCAATTCTGTGAAAAGTGCGAAGGAATCCTGCATGCCCTCCTGTTATAGAGGAATGAAACTCATCTAAAATCATCTTCAGCAATTGTGCATCATCGTGTGGGATTACCAGGCGATGTTTCCAGTATAAATCTTGATCACAAAGATGGAAGTGTTTCATCGAGCTCGGATCTTTTTCTAATTTTTCCTTCAATTGTAAAATCAAAGAAGAAGTTCATACCCTGGTGTATATGTGATCCATGAAAGTATTCTCCACCGTAGTTAGCGCCATACAAGATACTCTAGACAAGGCATCGGCCACCTGATTCGTTTTGCCTGGTTTGTATTCAATATCAAATTTGTAGCCCAACAGTTTGGGTAGACAGGCTACCTGCTCTGGTGTCTGGATGGTCTGGTCATTAAGGTGCTTTAAGCTGTCATGATCCGTCCGTATGATAAAATGGTGCCCCAATAAATAATGACGGAATCGAGAGACTGCTTCTGTGATTGCGTATAATTCTCGAACATACACTGATTGTGTCTGCATCCGAGGAGATAATTTCTTGGAGAAAAAAGCAATTGGGTGTTGATCTTGACTCAATACTGCTCCGATTCCCACACTAGAAGCATCTGTCTCCAGTACAAAAGATTTCTGAAAATTTGGCAGCGCTAAGACAGGAGCCGTAGTGAGTGCTTGTTTCAGGGCTCCAAAGGCTTCTTGGGCTTGGGGGCTCCAATTAAATGAATCCTTCTTTAATAATTCAGTGAGTGGCCCAGCAATCGTGGCGTACTTGTTGATGAACTTTCGGTAGTATCCGCTGAGGCCCAGGAACCCCTTTAACTGAGTGACATTTATAGGTATGGGCCATTCTTGAATTGCTCGAATCTTCATCGGATCCATTTCCACTCCTTTAGCTGACACTACATGCCCCAAATACTCAATCTTTGTTTTACCGAATGCGCACTTGGACCTTTTTGCATATAGCCGGTGTTCAACCAACACTTTCATCACCAATTCCAAGTGTCGTAGATGTAATTCCCAAGTGGCACTATATATTAAAATGTCATCAAAGAATATTAAAACAAATTTCCTCAAAAAGGGTTGGAACACTGAATTCATCAGAGCCTGGAAAGTTGCTGGCGCATTTGTTAATCCGAATGGCATTACAAGCCACTCATATAATCCTTGATGAGTACGAAATGCCGTCTTCTCTCTGTCCACTTCTCGCATTAGAATCTGATGATACCCAGACCTAAGGTCAAGCTTAGAATAGTAAGTGGACCCATATAGTTCATCTATTAATTCATCAACCGTGGGCATAGGAAAAGCATCCTTGACTGTGACAGTATTTAACGCCCTATAATCTATACAAAACCTCCATGTTCCATCCTTCTTTTTCACCAATATCACAGGGGCGGAGAATGGGCTATTGCTAGGTCGAATTAAACCTTCCTGTAATAATTCTTGAACCATGTTTTCAATCTCTGTTTTCTGACTTACTGGGTACCGATATGGTTTCACTTTTACTGGCCCCGTTCCTGGTTTCAGTTCAATTCGGTGCTCATGATCACGACTCGATGGTAACCCATGCGATTGCTCAAAAACCTCTCCATATCGTTGAAGGATCTGAGCAATGTCCGCCGCTACTTCTTCTTCTGCCAATGTTTCTGGTATGGGGGTTGCGTTCATAATATATATCTCTGCCACAGCGTCAGTCTGGCATAGCCGAACAAGATGATGAAAATTGGCTTGGGTCATAGAAGGTCCCCTGTATCCTCTCAACGTTACAAATTGTCCATCTTGAAGGAACCTTATAGTAGAAGTACTGTAATCTGCCACATGAGCCCCTAACGTCTCCAACCAGTCTGCCCCCATTACTAAATCTACCCCTGCTATGGGTAACACAAACAGAGTCAGTTCAAGGGTGTGGTCACTTATCTGTATGGGCACATTCATGACTCGCTCATTGCTTCTTAAGATCTGCCCCGTTCCCCCTAATACTCGCAACTCTGTGGTATATTCTACCGGCAATCCCAGGTGCTCCACTATACGAGGGTGTATAAGTTATCAGAACTCCCACCATCCAATAATATTTGTACATCAGTTCCATTGATACGGCCATTGAAACGTATTGTGGCGGGGCCCTGAGTTCCTCTTAGAGCGTGTAGTGATAAGTGGTGTAGTGTCGCTTCCACCACGGTTTCTTCTTCGTTCTGTATCTCTTCATCCCTCTGAGGGTCATCATCACATATCATCATCATCATCTGACGGTTGGGGCATCTATGGTTGGGAGAAAACTTGGCATCGCAAGTGTAGCATAGACCCTTCTCTCTGCGAACATGTACCTCGGCGGGTGTCAACTTCTTAATTTGAGGAGTATTAGGTGTAGGTAATAGTGGAGGTAGATTAGCTTTTCCTCCTCCCATGGCGGTATGACTGGCACTACTGTTCTTTGACACCATCGTGTTACTAGCTCTGTTAAGGGCGAGCCCACTCGTGCCTGAGCCTCCTCTTTCCTTTGCAACATTTACCCCATATGTTGAGTTCTCATAATAGAGACGAGCTAGCGCCATTGCGGATCGGACTGATGTGGGACGTTGAACCAGCACATCCCGCCTTAACTCTCCATTTTCAGTCCTCCTACGTAACAGTCCAATAATGCCGACTCTGGTACACCCTCTGTACGGTTAGATAGTGCCATGAACTTGGTGTTATATTCATCCAAGCTGTTCTGCATGGTCAGCTTAAATAGTTGCGCCCGAGCACATTCAAACCTTGAAGGTCCATATTGATCTTCCATTGCAGCGGCCCTTGCGAGCGGTCCCCAGTCGGTAACTTGGTGTGTCT